GATGTTGATGGGGGTTGTTTTTCCCTCTATCTGTGGGAGGCTGCAAAACTGATGATGTTTTTGGTTGTTTATCTTTTTTTTTTAAGGAAATGTTTACTTTTGGTAGTCTGGGTTCTTTTTTGTACTACAGTTGGAGAACTTTTAATACTTTTAGTTACTAAGTATCTCTAAACTCTTGGGGACAGGGACTTAATCCATCACTGTACTTCCAGAATTTAATGTGGTGATTGGCACATAATGGGCTCTGGTACTATTTATTGAATAATTAGCTGTATGAGGATTAAATAAAGAAAAGAAATGAATAACTTTTCTCAGACTCTTGGGCTGTCCAATCACAGAGAAATGATCTGTCTTTGATTCCAGTCTATAGAGTAGATGTGATTGTCACAATGGTTTTCAGCTGTCTCTAACTCTGTGGTATATTTTTTAAATAGGGTTCATTTTAGACACATATACTCAAGTGTTTCTGAGCTACTTCTGTAAGACATTTCTTTGGTCAGAGTCAGATCTCACCTGATATAACACCACCCCCTGAGAATCCTGATCTTTTCTGAGTAGTGTCTGGGCCCCAGAGTACAATGATTAGGACTAGCATCCTTGGAAGCTCCTTGGTGGGGGAAGGGGTAACATTGCAGGTGATACAGAGTTTTTTTTTTTGTTGTTGTTGGTCACGGGGCTTGAACTCTGGGCCTGGGCGCTGTCCCTCAGCTCTTTAGCTCAAGGCTAGTGCTCTACCATTTGAGCCACAGCACCACTTTGGGCTTTTTCTGCTTATGTGGTGCTGAGGAATGGAACCCAGGGCCTCATGTATGCAAAGCAAGCACTCTACAACTGAGCCACCTTCCCAGCCCAATATAGAGTTCTTAATTGACATTAAGCACATTTATAGATTTGATGCTTAAAAATTCAGGTATGAAATCTCAGCCAGTTCAAATCTTATATTTATAGAATGTCAAACATGGCTACTATTCCATCAATATTGAGGATGCTCTAATATCTATAGCCTTACTTTTTTTTAAATCAAGTTTTCAAAGACATATTGACCACAAAGGGAAGGAGATTGTAAAGAGGGGCAAATTCTTTCTCTTTCTTTATTTTCATTTTGTGGGGAGGTGCTGGTACTGAGACTTGAATTCAGGTCTCATGTGCTTGCTCAACTTTTTTATGTAAAACAATTTTTTTGCTTCTAACATGTTATTTTTAATTTAATTTTTATTGTTAAGGTGATATATAGAGGGGTTACAGTTACACGAGTAAGGTAATAAGTACATGTCTTGTCAAACTTGTTACCCCTTCCCTCATTTTTCACCTACCTGCTTGAATTTTTTGCTCACAGCTGGTGCCCTACCATTTGAGTAAGGTCTCACATCCAGATTTTGCTGGTTAATTGGAAATAAGAGTTTCACAGACTTTTCTGCTAGGGCTGGCTTCAAATCAAGATCCTTAAATCTCAGCTTCCTGAGTATCACTTGAATATGAAATGTAACAAACAGGCTTATGTGTCAGAGGTTTGATTCTTAAATAGAGGCATTATTTTGAGTTGTTTGGAAAATTTTAGAAGGTGGGGCTTAGCTGGATGAAATAAATCACTGGAGACCCAAATTTAGATGAACTAATCCCCAGATCTTCTTTGTCTCCCTGCATCCTGTCTGCTGAGGTGAAGACTATTTTCCTTCACATACTCTGACCACCATGATGCTCTGCCCAAGCATATGGGTCCAGCAACCATGGACTAAACCTCTGAAATCATGAGTTTAAAAAAATTTTCTCTCTTTAAGTTGTTTGTATCAGATGTTTTTTGGTCGCAATATAAGATGCCTCCATCAGAAAGAATGGCATTGCCCCATTTGTTAGGAAATGGAAAGACTTGGAAAAATTATATTAAGTGAAGTAAGCCAGGCCCAAAGAAACATAGGTCCCATGGTTTCCCTTATTTGCAATAACTTGTATATGTCTGAGTCAAGCAGAAAAGGTCAGATAAGGTGATGTTAGGGAAATGAACCCTAAGATATGTATTCAAATGTTTTTTTTTTCTTTCAGGTGATTGTTTCTAACACATTTATAAGATTATTTCTTTGTTTCTTTGTATGTCCCTCCCCCATGGTATAACCCTGCTTTCACTGTATTTGATGTTGGTGTAATTTGAGGAGGGGATGGGCAAAAACAAATCGTTTAACTAGGGATACAGGTGGACCCATTGCCACAATGAGATGTACAAATTGTTATGTTGAAAATGAACTTTACAACTTTGGTGGGGGTGGGGAGGAGGGTTGGGGGGGGGGGGGGGGTAGGATGGGATGGGAAGGGGAAACAAAGGAGGAGGCTACAATGCTTGATAAGAAATGTACTCATTACCTTGACCATGTAATTGTAACCCCTCTGTATGGTACTTTCACAATAATAAAATAAAATAAAAAAGAAAACTGTTCCCTTTTCTCTTTATACACTGATGATCTCCATTCTCAGCACTGTAAATCTCCCCGTTTACACATCTAGCTCATACCTCTCTTCTGGGCTAAAACTGGATTTGACTTCTTTACTTGGGCATATCATAGGCAATTTCAACTGAAGAGATCTAAAACTAATTTTTTTTATTTTCCTCAAACCTGTTTCATCGTAAGTCTTTATCACCTCAGTAAATAGAACCAAAAGTTGTTCACACAGAACACCCTGAGAGCCATCCTTAATCCTTCATCCTGACATCAAATCCATCATCAAGTAATTTCGATTTTACCTCTGAAATACATCTCAGTTCTATTCATTTCTATTTCTGCTGCCATCATCTTAATCCCTCTCACCATATTCTTTCAAGATAACTCTCAGTACCTTATAACTGGTATGCCTGTTTCCTTTCTACTCTTGTCATCTTCAGCTTGTTTCATACTGCAGGTTCATCACACCATATGCCATTTCACAGGCTCACCAGTGCAGGTATTCTTTGACAGGCTTCTTAAGTCATGCATACTTTCAAAGACCCAACAGTTTATATATAATTCCATAGGTCTATCAGCTCCTAGACTTGCCAATAAAGTAAACTCCTCAGCTTTGTCCTGTACCATCCACTCCTCAGTCAGTAACTTTCAGCTATATTTTGTCCTGTTTGTTCAGAGACTGGCTCACATTATTCCATTCATCTCACTCTTCATATGACTAGGCTTGTCTTTAGAATTCAGCTTATGTCATTCTTTTCTGATAGGTCTTCCTAAGCCACAAAGTTCTCATCATTATTTTCTCAATGGAGTCGATTCTTTGTCTTCAGGATGTTTGCCACTATTCGTAGATATGTAGTAATACTAATCTCCTATTTCGGGGGAGGCAATATGCTAAGTGCTGGAACTATGAATATTTATAAAGATAGATCCTCACTGAATGAAAGTACAATTTTAATAGGACAAAAAGAGGTTGGCAAATACAGTAGTAGACATGTCAGACTATCATCCTTAGATATTCTACTTTCCTTTTCCCCTCTAGTGATGGAATTTATTTCCAATGGAAAAAAGATAACAAAGGCCAGATACACAGTCTCCTTTGCAGGTAGGTATACCTATGTGACCAGTTTTGACAGGAGATGTTCGAGCAGGTTGGGCTTCTGAAATGTAGTGAACTATCACTCTTCCCTTATTATCTTGATGCAATTCCTGCAATGTGGCAGCCATTTTATGACATGGCATGATGGTCCTAAAGAACAAGCTAAAGGCTTAAAGTAGTAAAATAGAAATATGGAAAGACACTGGATCCCTAATGATCCTGTTGAGACACAGAACCAATATTTTTCTTCTGAATTTTTCTTAATAAATTTTTTCTTGTGAAAATACCATACAGAGGGGTTACAATTACATGATCAAGGTAATGAGTACATTTCTTATCAAGCATTGTTGCCTCCTCCTTTATTTCCCCTTCCCATCCCTTCCTATCTCCCCCCCTCACCTCCTCCTAATTTTTCTTATGTGAAAAAGTGATTGCTGATTGTTCAGCTTTTCATTATTTATCTTGCTCCTGCAAGTTGAAGCCTTTACTCTGATATGAATGTTTCTTCCATGGCAACAATAAAGCCAATGCAGTTCTCTAGGATGAAAGATACCCCTGAGTCTGGTGTCTGCACAATTTTATGGATTACTTTTTCTATTATTGAGGTGTATGTGTGTGTGTGTGTGTGTGTGTGTGTGTGTGTGTGTGTGCACATGTGCATGCCCATATGTGCACACTGGAGAAAAATGGGCAAGAAAGTCAATCCACTACTGAGACTTGAAGTCTAAACTGTAAGATGGCTAGATGTAATAAAGCACTAATCCTCTATTAGGCTCTGAAAATCTAGGTGTTATGATTTAGTGGTGTTTTCATTATTTCCAACATTCAGACTTTGTTTCCTTTGAGGCATCACAAAAGCTTTCACAGAAACAGAGAATGAATGTCATACAGGATACTGAAATGCACAAAGCAAAGAAAAATGTACAGTGAAGTAGTCATTAATGGAATGTGGGAAGGGTGTATGAAAAATGTTAAGTAATCATTAAGGTGTTAGGAATGTCTCTATGAGAGGAAGAAATCTGTGAACCAAAGGCTGAAGCTAAGACAATGATACCTCATCCAGCCAGATCCCATCATTAGTCCTATATATCATTGCTTTTGAATTTTAACATGGAAATGCAAGTGCCTTCCTGAAAAGCACTGGAGCTCATTTAAAATCAATGTGGTATCATGATCTACATGCTTGGAGAATAATGTATTTAACTATGTATGTAATATATTTAAAGATATTCCTTCAAATTCTGCTTTCTCAGGATGTTTGTGTAAGAAGCTAAACCCTATTATGGTTAGCCACATTATTCTTTTCAATAAGGTTTAGAAGTAGGTGATAACATCATTATTTTGTATAGAAGGAAACTGAAGATAAATCTCTAGTTAGGGCAGAATCATTACTTGAACTTTTTAAATTCTAAAGCTTTGCTCATATTTGCTAATACTTGATACTGGTAATATTACAATAGTCTTTTAAGAACAGGTGATATCTATTTAAAAATTTGATGATCACGTCTGTACACAATTTGAGAAACAGGAAATTATTTGAAGAATAACTGAGATGGGGAGATTGTGATGCGAAGACTGTTATGTGACTAGACTTCTGATGAAAAGGTGTATAGGGCCCAGCTCCTCTTCCCTCAGGTTTATAACCTCTTTGGAGAAAGACCTTGACAAAATATGATCCCTCCCATCATCCACCCACTCTTGTGCCACTGATGACATTTGAAATTCATTTATCAAATAATCAATCCAGTCTTCTTTTTTTGGGGGGGGGGTCCGGTCGTGGGGCCTGAACTCTGGGCCTGGGCACTGTCCCTCAGCTCTTCAGATCAAGGCTAGCGCTCTACCACTTGAGCCACAGTGCCACTTCCGGCTTTTTTCTTTTTGCTTATGTGGTGCTGAGGAATTGAACCCAGGGCCTCAGGCATGCAAGGCAAGTGCTTTACCACTGAGCCACTTTCCCAGCCCCAATCCAGTCGTCTTAAATACTACCTTACATATATTTTTGAAACCGGGGAGTAAGGAAGTGACATTTCTTAAAGTAATGTAGTTTTCCTCCTAAAATTTAATGTATATTTATTTTTCTATACTTTAATACAAGTTTATGTTGACTTGATATGTATTATAGTGAATAGGAGTTAGATTTTTAATTTTGGCACTAAATGTAAATGAGGGTCTAAGGCTTGGTAAAGTTCTTGTCCAGCATGTGCAAGGTCCTGGATTTCTCCACCACTAGGACTATAAAAAAAGAAGACAGAGAACAAGGGATCATTTAATTTTTGTGAGGTGAGGTGGGTCCTTTGATTGTTCTAACTCAAGATCTTGTGGGGTTTTTGTTGTTGTTGTTGGTTGTGGGGCTTGGACTCTGGGATTGGGCACTTGTTCCTTAGCTCTGAAGAGCTCAAGGCGAGGAGAGCTCTACCACTTGAGCCACAGCGCCACTTCTGGTTTTTTAGTGGTTAATTGGAGATAAGAGTCTCAAGAAATTTCCTGCCTAGGCTGGCTTTGAGCCATAATCCTCAGACTTCAGCCTCCTGAGTAGCAGCTAAGATTACAGGCGTGAGCCACTGGTGTCCGGCAAGATCTAGTTTTTAAATTTCTTCTTTCATTTCTATGAATGTCTTTTAGTAAACAATTCCTACCTCCATCCATTTTTTCAAAACTTTGATTTAAATTAATCAGAGTTGATTGTTGCTGTTTGCAACTGAAGGCTGACAGCCTCTGTTGGTTGTCTACCTCAGTTCCTACAGTCTTTTCTGTCTACCTATATTTCCCCTGGTGGTCATAAGATACAATCCTGTTCAGTGATATTTAGATGGAAGCATTTTGAAGATCTCTGACATCATGATAAAAATGCAGACTGTCTTTTCCCACCATCTATTTTTGCTGTATTGGAATTTGACCTCAAGGCCTTGCACTTGCTAGGTTGATGCTCTGTCACTTGAGCTACGTCCTTAGCCCTTTTGGCCTCAGTTATTTTTCAATTCGAGATTCATGTTTTTGCCCTTGGTGGTCTGTATCATTATTCTATTTATGCTTTCCATGTAGCTGGGAAGCTACATGGGAAATCCCTCCCCATTATACCTAGTTTTTATTAGTTGAAATGGGATCTCACCAACTTTTTCCCTAGGCTGAACTCAAATTGTTGATCCTTTTCATTTCAGCCTCCTCCTTTTTAGGATTTTAGACATGAGCCACTGTTATTTTTTTTTAGCCATGATTTTGCTGTGTAGCTCATATTAGCTTTAAACTAGAAATCTTCCTACTAAGATCATAGGTGCATTCCACACTCTCTTTTGTCCTGTCTTTTTTAAAATCTTGTGTGAATAGTGATTAGCGGTATGGTGGCTATGTCACGACTATGAGATGAGAAGCTTGAGGAAACCTCAATGAAAACTGTGGCAGTGACAATCATGACATTGGTGAATGTATAGCATCTTACTTCCAACCATTGTAATACTAGAGGCAAATAAGGCTTGATTTAAGCTCTCATAACTCATTTTTGTGATTTTAACTGATATAGAACACCAACTAATAAAATGGAGATTTGGAAAAAATGAAAAAAATATCCTCCATTCAATATAGAACAATTGAAAGGGATGGGAATGTGAAGAAAAGAAGAAATAACCAGACAAATTTAGACCTATTACGTGTATGTGATCACTTCTTTTGCTATTGCTGGTGACTAGGCTTACACTGAAGTAAATCTTGTAGTTGATCCTAATTTAGAAATGAAGGATGTTGACTCCAGGAAATAGTCAGACTCTGCTACCATATTCTTGGCTCCTAATAAATATATGTGCATTTGTTGTGAGAAGGATATAGCTGAATATCATTCATTGTACTTAGACAAAAGAAATCACAGAATTTTCATGTCTTTCCATAATGCACTATCAACACTCACAAATTCTCAGAAAAAGGTTAATGGTAGAAATGCTTTCCCCTTTTTTGCTAACTGATTAAATAACTCATAGGCATATGTATAACAGTTCTAAAGAAAATTGTCCAAGGACTGCAATATTTCTTTTTT